TCTCTGGTCATTTATATACTTTCTTTCTGATATCATTAAGGGCTCCAGAAACTTAATACCTCCGAGTTCTAAACACATCACTAGTCAATCAGTGTGCAGGAAAGACAATGTGTTTATCTGCTGAAAAGGAAAGCTTATGGACCCAACCGAAAAGGGGGAAAAATGCTTTTAAATACTAGTCAAATATGCATTTTGCTTTTAAAAAATAATAAAGCAAAGAATCTAATACTAAAAAAAGCTATCTTGGAATAACAATCAAGTGTGTTGTGCACGATTTTTCATTTATGGATAGCAGGAGGCATTAATGTACTTGCCTATGGCTTGTGCGTTACTATTCCCAGCTATGCAGAAATGGAACATGATTTACAGCAATACATTCTTTGTTGCTGTTCCAAGGTACCTATTGTCTTCCCTGCATTCTGACTGGCTGGCTGGCTGGGAGAGGGGATGGTGCTGGACTGCACTCAATCATTATGGGTGTCTACAAATAGAGTAGGTGTATGTGAACTGGGATTTTTCAGCTTTGTATACCCAGCAAGCCAATCAGAGAACAGAAAGAACAATAGCTGAAGGTTTTACTGCTCTTTAAGTTTCCCCACTGATTCCCATTGCGACTGATTATATCACTGAAGTTATATAAAAATCACATTAAATGCCAACTAAATCAAGACTTTTCATGCCTTTTTTCAAAGCAATGAAATTCAGGACAAACACTATACTATGCATGAAGATCACCACCTAGAGATCTTAACTCTTCATTCCAGACGCCGTATTTGAAAATGGAACCAGAGAAAAGTGTAGTTTATTCATTTTGTTATTTTCTGTGGTGCTTGCACTGCTGTTTTGAAAGCCCACCGTAGGAGAGCTCAATTAAGCGCCTTCATAATTTTCACCAGTTAACTTTGATTAAATAGGCTGTCCTGGAAGGGAATTCAGTAAATTCCAGCTATAAATGACCTGTAGTGAGTTTTCAACTAGGAATTTCTGTAATATTAGTACTCGGACAGGTCATTTCTTTCAAAAGGGTTGTACTTTGCCCACTGTTTCGGAACAGTTCTACCTCATTTTATCAGAGCCAAGAAAAGAAGGTAAAAACTTCTTTCTGGTGGTTGGAACAACAGGTCCCTTTGCAGTATTCTTTCCACCACTAGGTGTTATTAATACAAGAAAAAGGTTAGAGGTGCCTTTAGCCATGAGTTTCTGATTCATTCATTGTTAGCTAGTTTGTCAAATCATGGTAGTTGCCAAAGATTAGCAAAAGGATGTTGAACTGAACAGGTTTGCCCCGGTGTGTTGCTGCTTAGACAAGGACTACAAAATCCTTTCCACAGAAGCAAGCCTTTTCTCACTGAGCAAGTGCTAAAATG